CCCGTCACACTCAGGCAGCTGTGGCATCACCCTGTATTGATAACAAAGTCGTTTAACAATGTCTGCTATAATTCAGCTAACATGAATAAAAAGGCTTCGACACATTCAACTTTCTTTTTTTTCACATTTTAACTCTAGAGATTTGACTCTTTATGTCACTTTTCAGACAGAATCAAACTTTTCACTGTAAGAAAGAGAAACCTTTACTTTTCCAGCATGTGGTGAACAGTTATCTGCAAAGGTCTGGCCTTAAACAGCAGCAGGGGACACAGGGTGTTCAAAAGCGTCTGCAGAGACTCCGGCAGGTTCGTCTTCTGGTCGGCGATGAATCGTGGTGGCAAAGCATTTTGGTTTAGCTGCTGCACTGGAATGTAGGTCAGAGCCAAACAAAGCGACTGCAGAACAGCCATGGGGAACACAGGGTCATCCGGTTCAGGAAAGGCCTCTGTTTAAACCACAACAACAAAAATAAAGAGTCAGTTTAAACAATAAAATAAAGACTAGTGCTAAAGATATACACACATATATAAAAACAAAAGGGTAGTTTGTAGTTATTTAAAAAATGTAAATAATAAACCTAAAAATGCTTAGAGAAAGTTAAAAGCAATCAATTATTTTTAAAGAGGAACTACAATTATTCGCCATGATCAACCTCACACACTTACCAGTGATTTTAACCGGCAAGGGTAACAGGAGGTTGTAGATTCCCTCTACGAAGAAGTCTTTCCATTCACCAGCCAGCTCTGCTGGCAGCTTCTCCAGTTCTTCAGAAGACGACGACGTGAAGAACTGGTTCAGAGTTACGATCAACCTGGAGTTCTCGCACACAAACAGCTGGACCCAAGGGTTCCAAAGGCTGCTCACATTCTCACTGGCCGTCTGGGAGTGGATAAAAAAGAAGGAAAACCAAGTTAATATGATTTTTTTTTTTATTTATTTTTTTATATGGTGCCTAAAAAGAAGCCAAAAATAATATTGAGTTTTGTCATAATTTTTATCCCCCTCCTCAACAGCAGAGTTTACAATTTCATTAAAAAACAATTTGTCTTAATCACAAACTTTAATCAATTTTATTTATAGGCCAAAGAAGTACATATCTTTTTTTTATTGCAAAGAAAATTAACTTGTATTTTTTAACCTTTATTTACAAAAACAAACATATAGAAACTAATGATGTGGCTTAAAAATCCGAGTGGCTTTTTTTCCTACCAAATCAAATTAATTGCTTATTTTTTCATCACTAAAAATACGAAATGACTTATTTTGCTTTAAAAAAATTAGCTTTGATTTCAATCATGCCACAGAACATGTCTTAATTTAAAGGGCAATAAAATGTGAAACAAGATTGGAAAATAATCAAGTTTCAAAGCAAAAAGAAGAAAAAAAAAAAGATTAAATGTTTGCAGCTCGTGGATCCAATAGTTAATTAGTTTATTAGTTATTAGAACACATCTAAGAACAGTGATGAGCTGATGTCACTCTGAGCTGTGGAAGCCTAGCGAGTGGATTGGCAGAAGAAAAAAAAATTCCAATTTGTTTGAAAAAATATCTATAAACAAATAATCCAATTAATCAACTTTATTAATGAATTGCTATACCCCAACAGAAACAGGTAAATATTGGCTGATGCATTTTCATTCTGCCCTCTTTAGTCTAATACCCCTAAAACAAAATCCAGTGCCACCATTTGCTGTTCTGTGAAAGTCCTCTGTGGTTTGCTTACTGAAAAAAAACAGCATCACAAAGAACAAGGAGCACAGCAGACAGGCAACAACTGAAATAAGTAAAAAAAAAAACAAAAAAAACAAAGCAGCTCAGAGCAGAGAAACTTTTAAAAGTAGACTTATTAGAGCTGTGCAAAATACAGGGAATATATTGTCATTGCATTATAAGTGTTGTCGATATTCATGTTACAAATAACTTTTAGAGGGATAAAAAATTTCAGGCAAAACTAATCCAATTGTTATGAACTTGATTTCTTTACATGCTAATAATTAGATGGTTGGAGGACCGTGCAAAAAAAGATAATGCTGCAGGAAGACAAATAGAAGAAAATACAGCGACAAACTGCAACTGACATAATCTAGCAATATTTATCACTATTATGGCCACTGCAAGATGCTCTGAAAGAGTGGAGAGATACTAGACATTCAGTGGGAGAAGGTAGTATATTATGATCAGCGCAAAAATGAACACAATGAGGATGTACACTTTTCCCAACTTGGGTTTTCTGATCATTTAAAATTATATAAAAAATACATGGATTAGAATAGAAATACATAGAAATAAATGGTTGTAAAATGACAAAATGTGGAAAAAGTAAAGGAATATCCAAAAATAATATTTGCATCTATTCTCATAAAGGTCATATAGCACTTTTTGGGAGCTTGGTCTCACCTCCAACCAGGCCAACATGGAGCAGAGTAAAAAGTCCCACTGGTTTCCACCAAGGACAGCTGGACAACGGCTCACCAGCCAAGACAAGAATCGGATCATCTCCACGTTGAGGTTCAGCTGTTCAGATGTTGTTTCAGAAAGATCACTGGAATACACAGATTCAGCTTGTTTACAAACAGGAGATGAACTGATCCATGACGACCCCCAAACAATTGACACATCGGGGCTTGGACTTCACCAGCCTTCTGAGAGCATTCTCTGAGATAAATCCAAACAAAGGCAACACAGTCCGTGGGCCACATCATGAAATCTTTAGATCAAACTTGTTTTTTTGCAATACATGCTGCAGATCCCCTTGTTTGTGCAAAGGCTTCAAAACCCTGGACTGTTAACTTAGCAATAATCTTAGTGAAATTGCTCAGACATGTCAGTGGGGGTGTTTATAAACCCAACAAATAGCTTGCTTAGAGTAACTCCATTACCAGCTAAAGAGGAACCAATCCTCCCTGCTGTTTCTCCATTCCATGATAGTGGTGAGGATAGCCTGAATGACCTCCTCTTCTACTGGTGTGTTGCCGTTAAGACAGCACAGCAGCACTGCCAGACAGCCATAAACACCTGAAACAAACAGCCAAACATCAGTAATTGCATATATAAATCAAGAATGTATGGATTCCTGTAATAAGTGTGTTTCTAGAGGCGTCTCACTTTCATTTTCTTGCCAGTTGACTATTCCAGCAGTTGCCAAGGCAATCAGAGTTTCTCTGTCTTCTTTGGACATCAGAGGGCAGAGTACCTGGAGCGTGCTTAGTTTGCTCAGAGAAACTGGGAAAAGACTAAAGCAATGTATACTTTTAAAAGAAAGGATTTACAACTTTAGATGTCAGAATGTGGAAGCAAAATAAATATTTAAAATAATTATAAAAACTGACCTATCTGCGCTGTCGTAAAGTCTATTAAGAGCTCTTCTGTGAGTGGCTGCCAAATTGTGGGTGAGGATGTAGTTCTCCAGAGTCAGAGACCACAAACCTCCCTCGGTCACTGACCTGATGGTTGCAAAAGAAGACAAATTTAATCAGATTATGTTTAAAAACAGAAAATAAAACAGATAATTCTCACCTTAAGTAAAGGGTCTCTAGCAGAGAATTCACTGGAACTTTGCCATGGAGTCCATCCAATAGCCCCCATTCAGCCAGCAGGTTGTGATACCCAGATGCTACCGCGGGTCGGTAGTCAAGCTCCTTACACCACTGCAGTGCATACAGCAGTTCTGAAACTGTTAAATTATACCATTTAAACATAAAAGCATCATTAATGCTTAAGAGGTGACGAATGAGATGCATTTAGAAAAAAAAGAGCCCCTTCTTAATGGAGACTCAGCGTTTACCTGCGTCCTTAAGGTTTGGGAGGAATGAAGGACGCGGCGCCTCCATCTGGTCACAAGGTGAAGCTGCAGCAGTCTGCGTCACTCTTCCCAAGACAGCACAGACGCAGAGGTGAGCCGGCAGCCTGTTTGAATCCTTCAACTTCCACATGTCCTTGGTGGGTTTTTCACAGACTCCTCTGTGACGGCTGGACAGTAAAGGAGATTTGACCCACTGAAGACAACAGGAGGAAAGAAGAAATATAACATGAATGCTGAATGTTTTCTTTTTATAGGGCCTCCTCAAGTATTCCTACACCTCAAACTTTTTTTTTTTTTTTCCCCCCCCATCACCTGAAAGGGACACATTTCAATGCACTTTATTAGATATTTATTGTATAAAAACTTCCTCTTTGATTGTTTTATTTACATTTTTATAATTTCGGATCAGTTTCTGCTGTGTAGGGTAATATAATTAAAAGGACACCAATGCAGTATGTCACGGGATTCAAAATATTAGCTAAAAAAATATTTTTTATTTTTTTATCTTAAACCTATTTGGTCTGTTGCTCTCTGAGCTGCAACTGGCCCTTTTAACCCAAACTGCTCGTCCTTTAGATCAGGAATGATGTTAATTTCTGAAGTTTGTTGTTCTAATGTGACAACATCGGAAAATGTTTCAGGGGTAGGATTACTTTTGCAAGAGCTCCTTAAAACATTTATTTTATAAGCCTGGTATGGTTCCAAAGGTCAAGCATCGGCTTGCTGACCTGCGGAGACAGGGCGTGTCTGATTCTGGTCCACTCAGTCTGGCTCGGTGTCAAATGGGTAAAAAATTGGCTGAGAATAGAGGTAGCCTGGCCCCCGACAGAAAGGATTGTTTCCACCAAGCTTTGGACAGCTCCGACAAGAACCTGCAAACTAAATCAAAAAAGGAATCATTTTTAACAACATACGGACTTCTTTAAAATTTGAAAGATGTTTCAAACTAATTAGGGATACAAGAACAGCTAAGATTTACCTTTGAATATCCATAGATATGCTAAGCAGCTGCTTCATGACCCAGAGGGCAGCACTGTGCAGGAACCCGCCTTCCCTGACGTCACATTCACAGTGTTGCACCAGTGACTTGACCCCAGCTACACACACGTTCTTCAGCTTTTCCAACAGTGATTCTGCCAAAGCGTGAGGAACACATATTAGTTCTTTCTCCCAAAGTTTAATCAGGCATTTTCTGAAAGGTGTGTGCCTACCAGATAAGTGAGTGTGTCTTTGATCTTGAGCGGTCAGCTTGAAGACTGTCAGCAGGAGCTCCTCAGCAGAGAGGAGCAGAAGGCAGTCCTGTACGGAGGAGAAGAAAGACGAAGCCACGTCGCAGATGAAGGAGATAAGTGGCTCCATGTTGCCAGCGTCAGACAGACTCTTCGCCTCAGACAGAGTGGTGTGGAGCTTCTCTAACATTTTCTCCATGTACACCTCCCCTATCAAAGACTCTGAGAGCACAAAACAACAAAATTTTAGATATATCAACTGTTTTGTCAAACAGACAAAAACTTTAGGCAATATCAGAGACTGTATTTACCACTGTTGCTGTTTTGAGAGAGAACAAGACTAATGAGCGTCCAGCTTGGGTTGCTTGTCTGAGTTGTGGAAGACACAGAGCTTCGTCCGACCTTGCACAGCTCTTCGGTCAGTCCCAACAGCTGCTCACCAAGAAGTGAACCTTTCAGCCATTCCCTGCAGCTTGTGCGAGCCTCAGAATCTTTACATGCCTTTAAAAATCAGAAAACAGTCAAAAAAGCGATTTCTACGAGTAAACTAACTAATTTAAGTTTGATAGAAACAGAATTATATTCACCCTCTGAATAATTTGCAGGATAACTCCCCACTGCAAACCCATCTAGAAAGAAGAGACACCAACCTTTAGAGAAAACGGTAATAAAACTGTAGCTGGACCTCAAACGAATGAGGATGCAGTTACCGTGGTGATGTGATTGAGAATGTGTGTGGTCTCCTCCAGGCTGCAGCAGCAGAGTGAGCTGAAAACCATCTCCACCAAGTGCTCCGTATTGTTGCACCCCATCTCAGCGAGCCACACGACCACCCGCTTCAACAGGAACCGAACCGCTGGGTTCTTCTCTTTCCTCCATTTATCATCTCCAGGTTCGTCTTCATCAAATTCAAGTAAGGTCTGAGATGAGTGAAATACAAATATTATGATAAGAGTTGAATTTAATTTTATCTAAACAGACGGAAATCAAAGCTGCTCAATATATAAAAAAAGACATTGTATGATCTTTTTTTAGTCTACAAAACAGAAATATAGAAAAGTGAAAATAGTTCTTTGACTTACACTGAAGATCCTTGGCGTGTGAAAAGACTGCAGAAGTTGGGCCAGAAAAACAAGATGTTTCTCAGAGTTTTTCTCATTCACATGCACCAGGCACAGCTGCGCCAGCTGGCAAACAGCATCCTCAAAATGCTCTGTCTGTAGGGACGCCGTCTGCGAGAGCTTTTCAACTTCCTCCTCCTGAATTACTGATTTCTCATCCTCCTCGTTCTTTGAGAGACACAGCCTGACAGATTTTTTCTTCTGGGTTTGTTTTCTGCTCACTCTCTCAGGATAACGCATGACCTGGAGAGAAGCAAGAGGACAAAGAATGTCAAAAGGCCTCCACATACTGGCAATATTCTTATTTCCAAAATATTTCATCTACATTTTTCTAAAGTATTGTAAGGAAACTCACCTGCAGCAAAGTGGCTACACCTTCCAAAGTCTGAGCATCCACATCCTCATTGTCAACACATCGAACACACATGAGACAGAGTTCCTCCCAGAAGTCTGTCAAGAGTATCTTGAAGAGATCCTTGCTGCTAATCTCCTCGTGTTCACCGTGTAAACCCGCTCTCTTCTCCCAGGAAACAAGCATGTCAGTGACCAGCAGGAAGAGAGGCCCATTCTGGAGGGAAGGATCTCTAACAGCCTTTTCTATTAAAGGTAGGAGCTGCAAAGATCGAACACCAAAGGAAACATCTGGAGGTTAGAAAATGATGTGTTGGAGGAATTAGACGGGACAGTATATGATCTCACCTGCTGGGAAATTAGCATGTTCCTTATTTTCTCCTGAGATTGCTCCTCTCCCATGTTCTGCAGTATGCAGTACCTCAAGCACTCGACAAAAGAGGTCACGATGACCGCACTTTCCGACGGGCTCGTCACTGCACGCTCGCTAGACAGACTGACAAAGAGAAAAACAGGGATTGTCTTTTTCTGTAATGATTTTATGTAGTATTTCACATATAAATACAAAAAGAAGTTACCCTTGCAGGAACGCAGCATAGAAATTAGTGTAGAAGTCCATGTTAGGATCGGTGACTTCCTGTGGCAATTTACTGAGTAGAGGCATTAGATTTGGATGGAGTCCTTTAGCCATGCCTTTACCCCCTTCTTTTAACAGAGCCCAGAGTTTAGGGAGAAAGCCCTTTTTGGCATTAACATGTGTCCAACAATCCTGAAATATAAAGTTTAAAAATATACACAGTATAAAACTACAGCCGAGAAAAAAAAATGATATGCATCGTGATGGAAAAAAGAAATAACACAATGATAGAGCCCTGAAGTTTTATACATCGTAATTATACGTAACTTGTTAAGTTAATAATAATTAATTCTTAAATAATTTCAATATGATGTCAAGTTTAAAAAAATACAGTGATTTTATCCTACTTTCTTAGGAAAAGAATGGGCTGTAACTATTAGCTCTGTGTCAGAGTTGTTTGTTTTTTAAAGCAGCTGTCCATCTCTCACCTCATTAAGGAAGATACACTATCTTGCCAAAAGT